TCTGTAAAAGTATACAAAAATAAAAACAAAAATATCATAATTCTAAAATCGAACAAAACAAAAAAGAAAAACTAAACACTCAATAAAACACAATTTAGTAAAACTCCAAATACAAGTACAGTGGAACCTCGGTATACGACCTTAATCCGTTCCTGATGTTTGGACTTATACCGAATAGGACGTATACCAAACCAACCTTTCCCATAAGAAGTAATGTAAAAACGATTAATCCATTTTCATGTAAAAAAAAATGGCTGGCTTTAAACATCTCGCTATCCTGGCTAGTTCCTGGTTGATTTTTCATGAGATCAGCATGTATCTTTTTAGCTTTCTCGCAAATAATTGCCTCTGTTGCTACTAGGTTTGCCTTATGTTTCGCACATTTCAAGTGATTTTTAATGTCAGTTCTGATACGCTGTCGCCAGCACACTGTTTTTCAGTTATCCAAAGCAAAAGCAGTTTCTCACATGATTTAATATTCTTGATCTGTGTTTAGAAATTGATTTAACCGCTTTCGCAACGTTAGCAGATTTAATAATGTCTTTATTTTTCACGATTGTCGATATCGTCGTTCTCGGAATACGATATGCAGCAGTTAAATCTCGAACACGCTTACCGCTTTCATATTTCTCAACAATCTCTTTTTTCAGTTCCATTGTGATTTTAGTTATTTTTTTTTAGTTTTCTGTTGCTTTTCATTTGCCTTTTTGCAATTCATCATTAATAAAACTAATTAAATTTTACTTACAAATTAAAATCAGAAGAAATTTAACAAAGTTATAAACCGTGGCACCGCGAACGTTTAGTCTGGTCTACTACACCGATAGTGCTACTTGTTCATAGATGGCGCGTATAATTGAATTAAACTAAGTCGTATACCGAACAAAAGTTCGCATACCGAGCAAAATTTGTTTTGTCCAAACAGAACGTATTCCGAATTGGACGTATTCTAAAGCAGACGTATACCGAGGTACCACTGTACTGTAGTAAATTACTACTCGTATTCGGAATTTTTCGAATGTCAATACTAATTTGTAATTATCTACTCAATATCCGTTACCTCTTAACCAAGTAGCACGTAACGAATATTGAGCGCACCAGTACCAATATTTATCCGTTAATCCACATGAGTGATCTTTTTCGTACTAAATCGACACGTGACTTCCGCGTGATTCGCATTTTGATATCCACTATATCGATCGCGCCTCATTATTACGCTATTTGGCTAGATTAAAGATGTATAAATCAAAGATAAATAACGACGGCGTGATCATCTTAGCGACTTACAGTGGAAGATACAAGGGGAGGGCTACAGGCCTTAAGCTCTTCTATTTACAAAAAGATTTGAATTTATTTGTTCGAACTTCAAAACATTGTTTTTAAAAACATTTACGAAAATTATTGTCTGTCTTCAATACAAACTTTGTGCACGTATTAATAATATGTACTTATTAATTGTTTAAATATTTCTAATTTTTCAGTTAGCTCTTCTTTTAAATATTTCTGGATCCGCCATTGGCGACATACCTTTGTAAAGAAAAAACGAAAATATTGATTTATTAGTAATATTTTCATAATCTTTCATCTTTATATCTTTTTGTCCCTTTTATCAAAAATTTTCAGAAAATTACGAACTTATTATATTTATTTTTTAGCTATTTAGGCGTAATATCATTATAATGACTAAAATAGATTATCATAAGCAACTACTCTCGCAATTGGTTAATTTTGAAGAACATAATTTTATGTAGCCTACTGTAATAAATTTCAAAATTAATTGTGAACGTTTCATTTTTTGTAAATATAATTTTCGTATTTATTTATTTATTTTTCAGTAGGAGGAGGATCAGCTGGATCGGTTTTAGCTAATCGTTTATCTGCAGATCCTCAAAATAGCGTTTTAGTACTAGAAGCTGGGAGCGACGAAAACATAATTAGTGATAATCCTGCTTCCACCATTCTTTTACAAATGTCGACCCTTGATTGGACCTACCTGACCGAACCACAGAAATACGCGTGCTTTGGTCTAAAAGGACAAGTAAGTTCTACGTTCACGAAAAATTATTTTGTTTAGCATGTCCCTTTGCATACCATATCTCTTTACACTGGTGTTCTAAAGTAGTGGGCGCCTACAGATATGTTTTAATAAATCCAGAGATAATGGGCATAATACCTTAAATAATGGTCATGAAATGTTGAACCCTCATAGCATCGTCTCTTTATAATGAATTATATGATTCGTATTTTACAGTATTACTTCATTTACTGATATAAATGACACGTAATAAACTCATTTTGATGCCAGCTATTGCTGTGAGCTATTCGAACTTGTAAATGATGTGTTAAAAATTAACTATACGATATCCCAAGATGTGCGAATATTGACGCCTATAAGGAAGAAATGCATCCAAATTTGGTCTGAATATGACTCAAATTGCTCAGAGACTGAACTGTTTCCATCGCAACATCGCAAAATTTTAGATGTTTGGAAACTTGGTACTTTATCTAATAGAAAACTACCGCATGTATCTTCGTCAAAAGTTAACAAAATTCTTTGCAGTTTGAGTCGAAAAAACCGAATTGCTATGTCTCAGGAATATACGATAATGTGAAAAGGATCAGCAGAAATGATCAAGTTCATGTGTTGTTCGAAAGAAACTTTATAAAGAAGGAATTTTGGCATGTAAGGTTTAGAAGAAATCATTACCGACTTATTCCTGGCCATTGTGTAAACATCTCAATCGCCAACAAATTTTAAACTCGTCTAAAACATTTTGTAATATAATTTTGTTTACATTTGTATTTTTTCTTCTAAATCTGTTACAGTTTTCGAGATAAAAATAGTTACCATAATTTATGAAATAGTTATCATAACTTATATTTATTATTTATGCATAGATTTCAATAATAAAGTTTAATTGTGAAGACGTTTTATACTGTTATTTTTTTTTTTACTCTTAAAACTAGCAATCGCGATGGCCCAGAGGAAAAGTATTAGGAGGTTCCAGTGTTTTAAATCACATGATTTATGCGCGAGGCAATCGTAAAGACTACGATAATTGGGCAAAAAATGGTGCTTTCGGATGGAGTTGGAAAGACGTATTCCCATATTTTCTTAAATACGAAGACAATACAGATATAAATCTTTTACAAAATGGTAACACCGATCTTAATTTTTATAGTGTTATTATTTTTGTGATTCTTTTGTATAACATTTATAGTTGTTAATTTAAATAATTGTTTTACTAAAGGTTATCATGCTTCTGGTGGATACTTAACAATATCTACACCATCGTATTCTACTATTCTCCGTACAGCATTTTTAGAAGCTGGAAAATCTTTAGGATATCAAATTGTAGATGTGAATGGTGCAACGCAAACAGGTTTATACATTTTTAATTAAATTGTCGATTCTGAAAAAGAATAATTTAATAAAATATTATTTTTTATACCAATTTAAAATCTTATATCAAGAACCAAAATAAAATAGGCCTACATTCAGCCAAATGAGCATTAATAACAAGTTTAGTATAATAATAATAACAACGTCAGTGATATAAGAGATATTATACTGTAGTGTTAGTAAAATATCGTAATATGACAATGAATAGAGTTGTTAGTAAAAAAATAAATTTCAATAATTAATATTTTAAATTAAGCTTTAAAAATTTAAATATATGTTTTACTTAAATATATCTTTTAAAATCATAATTAGTATAAACGGTTTTATTTAATGTTACATTTTTGGATATTTTTCTTTGGTTATTAGGTTTTGCTCCCGTTCAATCTTTTTTAAGAAATGGAAGACGATGTAGTACCAATAAAGCATTCATAAAACCTGTTCTTCATCGTCCTAATCTACATATTTTACTTTTTTCGTTTGTCACTAAGGTATACTTATCTTAAAATTTTAACGTGTATACTATTTTGAATAGCTCAGATGGGGGTTGCTGCCACCCTACTATAATTATTTTGAACACTTACTATTTTTCTTTCCGCAAGTTCAGTAGTTTCATTTAATACTAATAGTAGTGTTATATAATGGAACCACTCAAAATCTGTTTTTTTTTTTTTTTTCTTTTTCTTAAGGATATGGTATTTGCAGCCAAAGTGGATTTGTGTTGTCTTTCATACTACCTGAACCCTCACATAGCAAATTTTAGAGATAAATGCCACATTTTTAAACAAACACCACTAATCCTAAGAATGAAATCTGTATCTATACTACCTAGTTCATTAAGACGCTGTGAGTAAGCAACACGATAACAAAGCGCCAGTAAACACTGAAAAGAAATGTTAATATTTCATTTGCATCTTATTTATATTTCTGTGACAGTATTAGGGGAGGTCGGGGCAAGATCGGCATGTTAAGCTTTACTTAAATTTTGTGTAATAAATACTGCTGTAAACTGAAAAAAACCTTTTGCATATTGTCTATTGGAATGTTACCTTGCTATACATCTGGTTAAAATCAGTTTGGACATAAAAATAATTAAAATAATTACAACTTTACAAGAAGAGAGAAATTGACGAAGTTGCCCCGGGTATAGGGGCAAGATCGGCAACTTCTTTTTTTTGTAAAGTTGTAATTATTTTAATTATTTTTATTAAAGTTGCCCCTGGTATAGGGGCAACAGTAATGGGGTAAGATAGGCACGTATATAAAATTATGTTATTAACAATGTATAAGTTGGAATTCACTATTAAAACAAAGAAATACAAATCCAACACCCATTTAATATTATTACAACGAAATGCAAGTTCAAAGACATATATACATGAATAACAAATGCAAACATGTTTTCATTTATCATCTGTTTGATTTTTATCCTTTGCTTCTAATGTGGCTTTATGTTGCCGATCTTACCCCGCTAGTCATGATTTCGAAACATTAAGTACAACCCTGAGAACAGAATGCCAAGCCACGATCTGGCCACGTGAATAAGTTGAAGTTACATCCTTCTAACAGGAAAAGTAACTTTCGTTATCATGGAATTATAACAAAACCTGCCAATTCAATATAAATGGAAAAAAAATATTATATGGAATTGAACGAAAATGAAAATTTGCTTGATAATTCAACTACGCTTGTTGGAGAACAATAAAAACACTACACTCAGCAAGCCACCAATAAAACTCAACTGCCTAACCTATAATCAAAGTTTTTTTTTAATTTGTTTTTAAAAAAAAGCGCTTGACAAACTTGCCCCGCATGCCGAAGTTGTCCCGATCTCCCCTATATGTTATGTGATAACCAGTTCTTTAAATTTTAGGGCTTATCACACCAATGATATTACAAAAGATATCGAAATTTACAACACAATAAAGAATTTTTACAATAATTGAATCTAAAACGTATACAATACATCCAAAATGAAGTCCAGTTGGTGTTTTTATAAAGATAACAAATCAAAATATACATAAAAGTTCCATAAAAAAGGCTTAAATAACAAAGAAGACATCACAATTAAACAAACTGATGTTATCTTTATACGTACTGTACAATAGATACAATAGATATAATTTTTTTTCTGTTCTTTCTATAATCAATCCAGCCGTGGACAGCATTACACACAATTAACAATAATTAATAGCAAAATATATTAAGCATTAAGCGATAAAAGGCAATGGGTTCAGTATTATATGCAAAAAATGATTTAACATATATAAAATATTACCGATTCAGTCATAAACACTTCTCTAAAGCCTTATATACATTATATATATATAGGCCTATATATAATAAGATAGAAGAAACTTTCTTCATATTGCACAATTCTATCATTTAAGATTTTATGTGAAATGATAAGTAATATTATTCTTTACATTTCTCGTGTTTAGTTACAACTGTTAAAATATAAAAGTTCAAATCCGAAAAGAATGAAAATATATATTTACATCACAATCATGCGTCATTTCATACGAAAATGTAACAATATTTTTTTCGACTTTTCCCTCCCTATGGGGAACTGAGAACCTTTTATTATCTAGTCCATTGTGGGTTCGTATAGGTTCACAAAGGAACGGCTGGGTGATGAGAAATGACATATTCATACAGAACACCTCGAAAAAACTTCCTGGGATTTTTGGCCCGTCCACATTCGATCCCAGGCTCCCAGAGCAGTAGACTTCCATTTTAACATATACTGTTTTTCATATATTTTTAAAAACTCTTTCTACCCTGTGGGCTCCAAGAAAACCTCTTTTAGAAAGAAAATTATGGGTTCGAGCTACGCCCACAATGGCGATTGAGTGGTGAGGGGTGCCGAACGTATTCGGTCAGACCAACCCTCGAAGATTGCCTGGGGAATTTTCGACCCGTGTAGGATTCGATTCTGGATCCCACAAGGTGGTGGGTGATGCCATCTAAGCCGCTCGGCCATCTGGCCGTCCTGTTTTTCATACTCTAGTTACTATTTGCTCACATTATATTATTTCGCTCCTTGACAAAGAATAAACCTTTTATAAGATAACTAGCATATGCATATGACCCCAGCGTTGCTCCAACACAAAATAACAACAGCAAAGGTTAAGATTATTAGATTATTTCTTACTTCTCAACCTTCTACTATATTATATTATAGCATTTGATTAATATTTACAAAGGTTATCTTACGTAAGAGTTTATCAAATCGAGTTCCCACTCTAACACATCTTAAAAATTCTTGAAACTGTGTACAGTAGACCAATAAAGAATTTTAAAATGTGTTAGATTAGTGTGATAAATCCTTACGAAAGATAAACTTTATTTCTTCTTCCGAGGCTGATTAGAAAATTTATAGATGGGTCTGAAAATATGCTCGATTTTCCGCAAAAACACAAAAATTCGCATTTAAAATAGTACACTATATTAACTTGTCAATATAATAATTCTAAAGTATTCATTTTATACAGATAATATTTGATAAATTCAAGAGAGCAAGAGCCGTTACTTTTGATCGCTTTGGTCAGACATATATCGTAAATGCAAGGAAAGAGATAATAATATCAGCAGGTGCGATAAATTCGCCTCAATTACTAATGTTATCAGGCATTGGTCAGCAAAAAGATTTAGAGAAACTTCAAGTAATAATTTTTTTTTTATTAATCGTAGGACGAAATGTGATTATTTTTAATCTATAATCATATCATATTAATCTCTTTCTTGTCAGATTCCTGTTATTTCAGATCTGCCAGTAGGTTTAAATCTCCAGGATCATCCTTTCGTTTTGGGAACAAATTCTTTAGTTGATGTACCCGTTACTTCTGTTCTATTGCGATTTCTGAATCCAAAGGACTTTTTTCGTTATGTTTTTGTTGGAAGTGGTATGAATCCATTAATTATCCACATTTTATCTTTCTCGTAAGAGCGAAACTAACAATAAAATAACATTTTGAAAAGGACCGGGGATTTTATCTTCGGCAATTGAAGCGGTTGCGTTTATAAAAACTAAATATGCTAATGCATCTGACGATTATCCCGATATTCAATATATTTTCTCATCGGGAGGATTGGCTTCCGACGGTGGCAAAGTTTTGAAAGAAATATATGGAATAAAAACAGAAGTTAGTTTTTCCTAAATATTTTTAACATATTTCCGAAATACTTATTAATGATACATATATATGCGATATCTTTCAGGTATATAATTCGTATTTTAGACCATTCGATTTCGACGATACATTTACGATATTCACTGTTTTGTTACGACCAAAAAGTCGTGGATATGTAAAATTGAGAAGCGCCAATCCTTATCAGTATCCAATAATCCAACCGAATTATTTATCTCATCCTGAAGATATTTTGAGATTAGTCAGTGGTAAGTCTTTTAATGTATTTATTACATTATGTTTTAATTTCTTTTCCTACTAAAATTAAATTTTTTTATTAAAAATATTCTTCTGTAACTTTATAATGCTTCTGGTAAATTTAACATCATTTTTTTTAATTTTAATTTTATTTTTTTGAATTACCAATGTAGGTATACAGTCAGCATTGCGTTTAGCCAAATCGTTCCCCTTTAAAAAGTTAGGATCTCGTTTATTTCCTACTAATTTGCCGGGTTGTAAAAGGTTTCGCAGATTTAGCAAAGAACAATTGGAATGTTTTGCGCGAACTCTGACACTTACTTTATATCATCCTGCGGGAACATGCAAGATGGGAGCAGTAAATGACCCAACTACTGTTGTGGATCCTGAATTAAGGTAAGTAGTCTTACTAATTTAATTTAGTTGATAGTAATGGTCTAATTTAGTTGATAATAATAGTCTAATTTAGTCTAATCTATAATAATTGTTATCAAGTAAAAATTTTTATTTAAAATTGAAATATTGAAACAAAATTAAATTCGAAACATGTACGATGGTTTTGAAAAATTAATTCCGTATTCCTTGTGTAAAATAGTATGTAATATAATACAATTTCCCAGTAATTTTAAAACTATACGATTACTAGATTTCGAATTTTTTCAAAATTTGGAATATTTGTACATTTACATCTATAAAATGGGACAACTTTAAAATGGACCAAAGACTACATACGATGTCCATTTATATTTAATAATAGAGGTTATGGGCTACATAAACCCTGAAGTTACTTTAGCGTACATAAAAATATAGATAATGATGCAAGTCATGTTACATTCACATAGATTTGTACGTGAAGGCGAAATACACATTTTACGTAGTGTTCTGTGCTTAATATACAATACCTGCACCAAAAAAAAAAATTTTCACACGTCTATATGCGTACGTATTTTTAAACGTACCCAGTGGCGGATTTAGTACTTGAGAGGCTCCAGGCGCAATTCAATTTTGAGATTTCTCTCTAAATATTTTCACTGCCCTTACAACCTACAATGTGCAATCTACGCGCACGTTTTCCACTCTGGTAGGCAGTACGTAGCGGATTATGTTTCTTTGAAGCCCTAGGCTCAATTTGGTTAACAAATAAAATTCTTGAATAATAACAAGTTTTTCTTTAGTAAACGTTTAAAACGTATATTATAAAGTCTTAGAGGCATATTATTTTTGCTATTTAGTTTTACTAGACGTCGAGGTCCAAGGCGCTCGCGTAGTGCTCCTATTTGGTAATCCGCCACTGAACTTAAGCTATAACGCTATACATGTGAAAAGGTATTCACATACACGTGCGTCATTGTTACATATGTTCACATTTACGTGTTGATTGATGTATTATTAGACAGAACGTGGCTACCAATAACTAAAATTTCAGCAACGACTTGCATAACTTTTCCAATAAATTGTATTTGGCGCCAACTGTTATAAGATTTTATTTTAAAAACTTCTTATTAATTATTATAAAATGTCAAAAAGCTTAATTTTGAAGGTAAAAGTCAATTTAATAAAAAGAAGAAATTGTAAATACTGATAACATGTAAAATATTTAACCTTTGGCTTTCATATTGTAATTCATCGTATTAACAAGAGCCAGGCATTCATTTCGAGTAATTTCATTCCAAATTTGCTTGATTTTTTGCTTAAAAGTTTAAACCATCCACTCTTCTTTGAGAACAATTTCTCAATGCTATTTTTAATTTTTCCCCGCATTTTCTACAGGGGAAAGGTCGGAACTGCTCGATGGCTATTTTAATATGTTAATATTATGTTGGGCCAGCCAAGCCTCGGTGGTTTTTGCAGTATGGAAACTTGCACCATCCTGCTGGAAAATAAAATACATGATATTGTAATTTTTCTAATTAGCGTTTCTTCGAGGAGTTTTGATATTTTGCTGCTTTTACTAATTCCTTATTGAAATGCAAAATTTTCACACCTTGGGCTCGCAAGCAACCCCACACCATAACACTTGCTGGGAATTTTATAGTGCGTTGTAGACAGTCATGATGAAATGCCTCTTGCTTTCTAATGACTTTTTTCTATTGTATCCAATGTATACTTCAGACTTTGCCTCATCACCAAAATTAACCTGCTTCCACTGTTGTTGTGTCCAGCATTGTTGCTCTTTGCGCAATTTAATCGGTTTTATTTGTGTTATTGTGAAAAGTGATATATTTTCTTACCTGATACAAGCCGTAGCCAAGTTTGTGCACATGGATACCACAAATTTTTTTTGTAACTTCTTTTCCAATAACTTTATTCCATTCGTTCACTAATTCACTGAGTGATGCCCCTCGTTTTTTTACATTATTTCATAAAAGTGCTTGTGATCAGTCTTTGTTATGGTTGTTGGCCCTCCAGTTGATTTTTCTGGATGAATTAGACCAGTTTACTGATATTTTGAAATACACGTAATGCCTCACACTGTGGAATTAGCAATGTTTTATTCTTTCGCAACTTTTTTAAGGATTTGCCCTGTCTATGCAGGATGATAATTATTTCACGTACATCAACACTTACAGCCTTACCGGGTGCCATTTTCATTAAAAAAATACATCTCAGATGTTAATAATGTTAATAATAAAAATATGCAAATATCACATGTCAACTCATTTACAGATTTAGGAGCAGGTCATTTAATTTTTTTTTTTTTGACACAGATGCTTTTTTCAATTGATGATAACTTTTTCTTATGTATTATTAACTTAAAAATTTTATGTAAAATCTTTATGTATAATAAAAGTTACTAATGTAAAATAATTATAAATGTCCAAAATTTTTCTGTTTGACATTATTGAAGGATAAGCTAGAAATAGATTAAAATAACATGCCGTTTGAGGCTATTTTTGTCGAGGTTGTAGATGGATTGCAACCCTGTAATGAAAAGCAGCACATGAAAGAGTAAGATTTCCTAAACGTATCGTTGTTTTGCCGCTAATACTCCTCTTGCCACCATTAGGAATGACCGAGTGTCAAAGACCAGCCAGCCAACACGCTAGCAATGGGTAGTATGTCTTCACCAATAATGGCGGAATCAAAGAGCTCACCAGTGTCTCCCATAGTATGTCGTCTAAAATAGTTGTCTTCCGTTCTCAAACAGAATCGGAATTTATTGTTAAAAACTATATGTTGCCAGTTATAGCAGTCCATGCTTCTCTGTCACGGCACCATTGCAATCGAAGCCGACGATGTTAGGATGCTAATAGTAACACACGTAGTGATTGCAGTGCCTCTATTTATTCTTTGAAAACTAGCAAAGAAAATTTTCAGGAAAGAAAAGGAGTTTTGTAGCGAGACTTGCAGATGTCTCTGGATGCTCGTTTGAGGCAAGTACGATCAACTCCAGAGACGAACTGTTCGTACTTGCCTCATGATCAGACGTCTGCCTGAAAGCGTCCAGAACATAACCGTGGTGTTTGTGCACTGACATATCCACTGTTCCGATCACCTTTTTATAGTCAATTCAGAACGATCCAGATGTTGAGAAATTAGGTGAAACGGCAAGCCATCTTCGGGCTGGTGGAAACCAGCCCGAAGATACAACCTTTGTCAAAGCCCTTCAGTTATGAGTAATGTAATGCCCGTCGCATCACACAAGTATGTCTGGCATTCGAAATCTACAAAGGACTGGCACACTGAAACTGAAACACTGTGAGCTACTCTGAGCCTTTTAATAAAGTTCTGCGGTAGCGATTTTAATTACTTTGGTAACACTGCTTGAAGTGAAAATCGGATCAGAACAGTACGAAGTATATCTGTATACCGAGTTCCACAGTAACGGGCAATTTTATTTCGGTACATTACTTTATGTTGTCAACGAATGTATGACTAATATCATTTTAAATCTTTTTTAGGGTGAAAGGTGTTTCGGGTCTACGCGTAGTCGATGCTTCTATAATGCCAAATATCGTCTCAGGAAATCTCAATGCACCTACCGTTATGATCGCTGAAAAGGCTGCAGATATGATACTACAAAAAAGATTTTGGCATTAAAATAGTTTGGAGTAAGATGAGCACCTTGTAATATGTACAAAGTGACAACTCTTCTCCACGACATGGGATATCGAACGGATAGCCGTTTGCATGCTTTTGTGTATATATCAATGACATGTAATCTGCGCACATCTAGAAAGTTAAGTTAATTATTGGTTATTGAAGTTGATCAGTGTTAGAAATAGCATCCGTGTTTCGTGCCAGACAACATTTAGAGAAAGATTCTCACGGAAAGTTAGAGAAGATTATAGTGTGCAATTTACCATAATTAATGGAAATTAGCAATTGTTAGCAATGATTTTCGATTATTCAGCGAATTGTAAAGTTGTTTTATTATGTTCTTTGCTACACTAATACTATATATTTTAAATTTGCAAAATAGTTCGCGAATACAAGTGGTAAACCATCAAGAAAAGTTGAAAGGAAGCATTACTGCATAATGTGAAGGAAAGAGAAATGACAATTGCAGGAGTCATCAAAAAGTATCCGTTGCCTCAACGAACACTTCAGAGACAACTCAAATCCGAGAATTTTACGATGATTTCTATAGGAAGATAACCTATTCAATCTAATTCAAAATCTTTGAAAACTTGCAAAGCTTTGAAAGGTCTTGGAGTCAAAAATCGAAACTATGCGTAAGAACATTACTTACGTGCGTCTTCCTCCAAAGTATTCTACATATATTTCAAAGAGTTAAGACTTTTAATAATTTATTGCTGGTTTGTAAATTTTGTTATTTTAATTAGTTAATTTAAATAAAATTCTTAAAATTTACATTTATGTTTATTTTATTTTATTTTCAATTACTAGTCAAATAAAATTATTTCTAATAGGATAAAAGAATGAAACAAATATTTTTAAAATGTAACATTCTTTTGTAACAAATGCAACATATTCTCATTTATCACAGTAGTGAGTGTTTTAACTCATTCTTTCATATGTGAAATTCTTGTGTTATAGTTGTGAAATTGTTTTACGCAAGGCAATAAAATTCTCCATACCTAGACAAAAGATTTATCTTGTTAAGTCAGAATATGATATATATATGAGTGTTATTTACCTGAATGTACTGTACAGTACATATGAATGTTTTCCTCTCACTTCTGGTAAACGCATATTCGTCATTTTTGGGATGGATGTACTCTACTTTCTTCATTTCATGCCATAAAAATTATGTCAACGATACGGAATAACAAATACTTGCAACATAGAACTAGAAATAGATTTTTTAGAAAAACAGACAAAAATTTACAATGAAGAAGAAATGTTAAATTGTAATGTTTTTTTTTTATTTTTTTTAAATTGTCCTTGGCATAACCTGTAAATTTAGAAAGTAATTGATTACTGTTAGTCAA